CTTTCGCAGAGTGAACAACTTGTGTTTCGCGCGCTCATATGACCTTAGCAGTTGCGAGCGCCGTAAAACCTTATACTACTACTACTACAACAGGAGTGACCTGGACTCCTAATTCTTGTGTCGTTTTCAAATTTACAGTGCTTTCCTGTGCCATAGTTTTTGCATCTTATACAAGGCTAGATTACAGTATAAAATGACTTTACTTATGATGTGTATGATATGATTGTCTTCAGTGAGAAAAGTGTAATTTTTTGGTCTTGTAAATAAAAGTATGTCATGCTTCTTTTTGCCATGGTATCCTTTAAATTCTTGCATTGTTTTTGTTTGTTCAAAGATAATTTCACTGATGCAAATAGAGAGATAGAGAACAAATATATACTTCCACACAAATAGGCAATCATGGACAATGATGGTAGGATAAGCAGTTAATTGTAGCAGTCAGGGGCATCTCACTTTAACCTGACATATGTTTGTCATGTCTTTCATGTTATGTCTATTTCAGTTCCCCTGGTACTGGCTAATTTTAAAAAGTTATCTCCATACTGTTATGGGATTTATTTGGAAATAAGAAATGTAAAAGTAAAAGACATAATTTTTGTGCGCTACTGAAACAGATAGGGCAACAGTGTTGTTGTTTACTTTCATTACATTTTTTTCTCAACTGACGTTATTATAAACTTGTTTTAGGATGTCTTTCCAAACTTCTCTCTTAGTTTCTGTCAAGAAAACTGAAATATATCAAGAATAAATATCATTGCGAGAGACTGCAAGAATTATGCTTCGCTTATGGCCTTGAGGTATGGAAACCCCTCTCACACTTGGACTTGCATACTCTGCTTGGATGTTGCCCTGCCGGTAGAGACGAGCTTTAAGTTGATTTTTGATTAACGGACTTAGGATGAATTTGCGGTTTGCTTCTAGAAATTGTCGACTCCTAAACAATAAACCTGAAAGAAGAATTACTCCGTCAATGTTTAGAATTAGATACTTTTTGTCTCCGAGAGATGTCTGTTACAGAGAAATGAGCAAGAGAATGGGAACTAGATTGGAAAGAAGTTAGGGCCAAGAACGATTCAAGCACATTGCTTATCTGAGCTCATCTTTGTATTTTGAACAAAGACAAGTAGATAGAGTGGTTCAAAAGTATAAAAAGTATAACTGTCATACATGTACTTTTTGTACCTCTTTAGTGACTGGTCTGAGACTGTTTTGGGCTCTTTTACAAACCTATCTGTAGGCATAAAGGGGTAAATATAACATGTAGGACCTACCTCTTTCACGTTGTCACCTATGACGCAGTGGTTAGGCGCTTCGCCATCGCACACAGATGACCCGAGTTCGATTCCCGTGCGGATATAATTTTTATCGAGTATCTCGGCCTTTCTGCCGGGACGTTGTACATTGTATCCCCCTCAGCTCGAGTCGGCCCTGACTGGTAGGGTCGAGGCCTGCCTCCTAAATGATCTAAAGTTTGTTGAAGGGGACATGAAAAGCACCTGCATTGAAACAACAATTAAAAAAAAGGTCAGACACTGTCAGATTTGTACCCTGAACTTCTATATTATGTTAGTCAAGCTCGTGCTCAGCTGCGCCACAACATCCTGCTATAGGCTACATTAAAGGGTATCTCTTCTCGTTACTGCCGGCGATGACTTAAACTTTGGGGACGGGTGCTGTTGGTCAAACGAACCTGCCTGTGTGCGCTTGATTTTGAGACTGAGTCAAGAGAAGCACATCGACACAGTAACGTCCATTTAGTGTGGGGTAGAAGCAAGATAGATAGAGAGAAACAGAAGGAAAACAAAAAGAAGTACAACCTACCAGTGGCGCTTTCCACCAACCACCCGCTCTGTGGGCTCTAAGACTTTTGCCAGCCAATATTTTCGTCCTGATAATTCTTTTCTTTTTTTTAAAGTGTAAAAATGGGAAGGGGGGAGGGGGGGGGGGTAGCGTAATAGAAAAACCCAACACTTCGGGGCATACCTTTTGCTCAGTTGGTATCGTGCTGGGCTTCGGAGTAGATGATCCTGGTTCGATTCCCCAAAGGGGTGTTCTGACCTTTGGTTGTTTGGGAGGGAATTTTTAAAGGTCTTCACCCATTCGACCAGTTCAAACTCTTCTTTCTTGTGTCCATCTAAGAGCTTACTTGGAACTTCGTTCTTTTGATTCCTGTTCTGGTTTCTTCATGCTTTTTGAGACGAAGCTTGAGTTTATTGCTAGCAGCAGATGATGATCCGATCCAACATCTGCCCCTCTCTAGACTCTGTACTGTGACATCTTCCAGTGAACACCTGAACATACGAGATATACAAAAATGATCGATCTGGTTCTCCGTCACTCCATCCGGTGATACCCATGTAGCCTTATGGATCCTCTTGTTGGGAAAAACAGAGCTTCCAATGACAAAACTATTGAAAGTGTAGATTGCTCACCGTTCTCATTCATTTGTCCAAAGCCATGTTGTCCCATTATTCCCTCATAATCTGCGTTGTCCTGACCAATCTTGGCATTGGCATCTCCCATTATGATGTTGACATCCTTCCTTGGCAGTTTGTCGATGACCCCCTGGAGCTGGCTGTAAAAAGCATCCTTGTTTTCATCCGAAGCATCATTTATTTGGGCGTAGATCTGAATTATGTTCATGTTGATTCTTTTATTCCTTGTAGTGAATGAAGCCATGATGATCCTCTCTCCCTGTGGTTCCCATCCTCTAAGTGACG